TCTCTTGTAGACAGTGTGTAGCTGAATCTGAAATCAATCTCTGATTTCTAATTTGGAGGTTTATTCCATTTAAATTTAGAATAATTACTGATATGATTGGAATGGGATTTACTATTCTGCTACTGGTTTTCTGTTCACCACTTCTGGGTTTCTTTTGTTTCTCTAGTCATTCTTTTTTGCTTTCTTCTAATTTATCCATTGACTTTATAACTTTGTCTATTTACATTATTTTTAAAAATAGACAATACACAGTTTTGCCATATACCTCCTGCCCCCACAGAGGCATAGCTTCCCCTACTATCAACATCCTGCGCCAGGGTGGAACATTTGTTACAATCAGCAAATCTAGACTGACACATCCGTGTATCAGCCAAAGTCCATGGTCTACATTAGAGTTCATTCCTGGTTTTGAACATTCTATGGGTTTGGAAAAATGTATACAATGGCATGTATACACTAGTCTCCTTGCCCTAAATATCCTCTGTGCTCCACCTACTCATCCCTTCTCCTCTAACTCCCAGCAAACATTGATCCTTTTACTGTCTCTCCAGTTTTGCCTTTTCCAGAAAGTCATATAGTTGGAATCAGATGGCATGTAGCCTTTTCAGACCAGCTTCTTTCACTTAGTAATCTATATTTAAGTTTTTCCATATCTTTTCTATTTCTTGATAAGCTCTCTGTCTTTTTTTTTTTTTTTTTAAAGCAATGAATACTATTCTACTGTCTGGATGTACCACACGTTATCCTTTCAAGCTACCGAGAACATCTTGGTTGCTTTCAAGTTTTGGCCATTATGAATAAAGCTGCCATAACCACTGTGTGCAGGGTTTTATGTAGACCTAAATTTTCAACTTATTGGGGTAAATACCAAGGAGCAGGACTGCTGGATCGTCTGGTAAGAGTATGCTTAAGTTTATTAAGCAATGGTCTTCCCAGGTGGCTGTACCACTTGGCATCCTCATTTGCATTGAGTGAGTCCCTGCTGTTCCCATGGGTATGTTCCCCATGTCAGCTTTTGGTATTCTGGATTTTGGCCATTTGTCTAGGGGGTGTAGTGGTATCACTGTTGTTTTAATTTGCAATTCCTTAATGACATATGATGTTGAGCTTCTTTTCATATACTTATTTGCCCTCTGTAGATCTTCTCTGGTGAGGTGTCTACTCAGGTCTTCTCCCTATTTTTTAATTGGGTATTTGTTTCTGTTTTGTTGAGTTTTAAGAATTCTTTGTATGTTTTGGAGAAGAGTCTTTTATCAGATTTGTCTTTTGCAACTATTTTCTGCCAGTCTGTGGCTTGTCTTCTCATTCTCCAGATGCATTATTTTTTAAGTGGTTGCTCTAGGTAATACAATATTCCTTCCTAACTTTCCAGTCTCCTTGGAGTTAATACCAAACCATGTCAGAGGCAGCCTCAAAGATGAACCCTGACTATCTCAGCCTTCCGGTATTCATGCTTTTCTGTAGTCCCCTCCCACACTACGTGGCCCACAGTATATGGCAGAAGTCATGGTATGTCACTTCCAAAGCCAGGTTCAAAAAGATACTGAGGCTTCTGTCCTGGTCATTCTCATTCAGATCATTTGCTTTGGGGACAGGAAGCTCTTAGCTGTGAGCAACCTCAGAGAAAGACCCACAAGGGGACGCCTCCTGCCAAGGGCCACATGAATGATGAGTCCATGAGTGTGAAGTAGATCCTCCAGCCTCAGTCAAGCATTCAGAAGACTGCATAGCTTAGGTGTCATCTGACACCCTGACTGCAACCTCAAGAGATCCAAAGCCAGAATCACCCAGTAAAGTTGATGCTGGATTCCTCACTCTCAGAAAATATGTGAGACGACAAATGTTTATTATTTTAAGTTGCTAAATTTTTGCAGTAACTTGTTACACAGCAATAGATAATATGTACCACTTCACATAAAACAGAAGAATCTCACACAACAAGGTCCCATTTACTCTGTCCTTTTTGCTATAGCCATCATATGTATTCCATCTACATACAGTATAATCCCCACAGGACGGTATTATAATTTTTGCCTTAAGAAAGCCTTTTTTTGAAAAGCCCTTTTGAAAAGTGGGGAGGGAAATAGTCCTTTGTATTTACCCACATAATTACCATTTCTGCTGTACCTTATTCCTTGAATATCCAAGTTTCCATCTGGTATCATTCCCTTTAGCCTAAAGAACTTCCTTCAGAAGCTCTCACAATGTCAGTTTCGTGGTGAAGAATTCCTTCAGCTTTATCTGAAAATGCCTTAATTATGCCTTCATTTTTATGTATATTTTCACTGGGTATAAAATTCTGGAGTGACAGGTTTTCTTCCTCCCCCAAAACTTTACAGATGTTGCTCCACTGTCTCTGGCTCCCACGGTTTCTAATGGGAAGTCAGAAACAACTCGTGTCGTTGTTCTTCTAAATGTAATATGTACTTTATCCCTGGCTGCTTTCAAGATTTTCTCTTTTTGTTTGGTTTTCAGCAGTTTGACAATGATGTGCCTATGTGTGGCTTTCTTTGTATTTAACTTGCTTGGGGCTTGATAAGATTTCTGAATCTGTAAATTTGTGTTTCATTGACTTAGGAAACATTTTAGCCATCATGTCTTCAAAAAATTTTTTTCTGGCCCCTTTTCTTCTCTCTTCTTGCCTATCATTAAGCTTACCCAATGGCTTGTAAACTTCAGGTATTGTATTTTTCAGCTTCAGAATTTGTGTGTACTTCCCACTTCTCTACTGAGATTTCTTTCTATTTGTTTCTTCTTCTTTTTTTTTGAGCATGAAAATAAAATCTTTTAGTTATTACCCACCAATAAGAGAAAGTTAGGTTTACAGTTTTAGCTCTTGACACAAAGTGAACTAGAAGGCCAATCTACATCCATTGGATACAACTAACGGATCAACTTTTTAAAGTTCAGGCTATCTTGAAAGCTTGCAACATACTCGATATCACTGCATTCTCTAGCAACAGAATATCAGCAATGGCTGACACAAAGTAGAACTTGTGAAGTGTTTTGATAGGAGGTGTTTCTATATGTTGCTAAAAATCGAGAGGATTATCAACATGTTACATGTCCAGGAACAAGTTAGATTACTTGAAAGTCTAACTACAATGATTTAGGAGTGTGTATGCTGCAAACTCAAGAGGGCTCAAGAGTCCATATGGGCGACATTAATACTTGCCACTGGGTAGCAGGTACATTTGTAAATATAAACTTTGTGGATAGGGGCGCCTGGGTGGCTTAGTCGGTTAAGCGTCCGACTTTTACTTAGGTCATGATCTCGTGGTTCGTGGGTTCGAACCCCGCGTTGGGCTCTGTGCTGACTGCCAGCTCAGAGCCTGGAGCCTGTTTCAGAGTCTGTGACTCCCTCTCTCTCTGACCCTGCCCTGCTCACGCTGTTTCTCTCTCTCTCTCTCTCTCTCTCTCTCTCCTAGAAATAAATAAAACATTAAAAAAATAAAAAAAAAAACTTTGTGGATAATAGACATTATCCACTAAAATTTCTTATCTTTTCACTTATTACAAAGCATATTTCCCTCTCTGTCCTTGAGCATGTAAATAAACTGCTTTAAAGTCCCTGTCTGCTAATTTCAACATCTGTGTCATCTGGGGTTGGTCTCCACTGACTGCTTTTCCTCTTGAGTATAAGTCCCATTTTCCTGGTTTTCCCCTCTGTATAGTATAGTATAGTAGTTTAGAATTAAATCCCAGACTTTGTGAATGCTATGTTGTAGAGACTCTGAGTTCTGGTTCATTTTAGCAGGCAGTTCATTTGTCTAGAACCAAAATTCCAAATTCTATTTCCTCCGCACCGGGCAGCAGCTGAACCCTCCATTGTTATTTAAGCCCTATCTAGGGTGCTTGGAGTCTATCCTGAGCACACATAGCTTAGGTGTCAGCCTGACATTTGGCCAAGGTTGATACAGAGAATAAGGGCTCCTCCTCTATGGTTCTGTCCTTCATGGGATATCATCTTATTTTTCTGCTTTATGGGATGTCGTCTCATTTTTTCAGTTGCTATGGTCACCTGGAACTCATTTTTCTCGTTCCTCAACCAGTAAGGCTGTAAGTGTCTATCCAAGTTTCACCTACCCCCACATTTCAGCAACTTCAGACTGCCAATGGGTGAGAAGATGTAAAAAACAGGAAACCCTTTGAAATGACCACTCTTCTCTTCTCTGTGATATAGTGGAAACAGCACTGGAACTAGGAGTTTTAAGCCTGAAATCAAACCCTAGCCTGGCCACTTTCTAGCTATGTTGAGTTTGGGTACATCAGTTCTCAGACACCATTTCCTCACCCTAAAGTGGGGATAAGCGTGTTTGCTCCATAGGATTGTTAGGAGGATCAAATGAGATAAGGAAACAGACTCAGAGGGGCTAGATGATGTCCTATCTACTAAGCGGCAGGAGTAATTAGTTACCCCAGGTCTGGCCATACTTCTTCTAATAAACCATGTTGCTTCCATCTTTATAGGGACCCCAACCTCTCCCTTCCAATGATGCCTCAAGTATGTACCATCATCTAATTACTGAGTTGGACACCAAGAATACAGTAAGTCAAAGTCCCTGTCCTCCAGAAATTCCAAGCACCATTCCCTTCTTCTAAGTGTTGACTACTCTCCAGTCATTCTCTAGTTCCTTCAGGTAGCATTTTTATTTTCTTCAGTTTGTAATTATTATCTTTGGGGGATACTGGCCTGATAGAACCTACTCCGCCATTACCAGAAGCGGAAATGCTGTCCATGAATTTTTGGTTTTGCTGCCTAGCTGCTCAGTCTGTTTTTATGCCACGACATCTAGAAAGATTCTAGAATCATGCAGCTGCTCCCTACATCCTCCCCAAATCATCTATTTATCTTAATAATAAAGAAAACAAAGTAGTGCCTAGAATCTTTGTCCAGATTCCTTCTGCTCCTAAAGGGCAACAGTACTTGGTCTGAATTTAACTGCTAGGGAGTAAGGGACCAATAACAGTATAACTGCTTTTCTCGTACCCATTCATACCTGGTGTTCTCTCGGCTATGCCCTGATCTGGTAATGCTCCGTATTTCCGATGCTGATCATACCAGTCATTCACCGTCATCGATGCCAGACTTGGATAACCAGCTCCAAATACTCTGCAAGAATCACACTGCATTTAGAAAACTAAACATGCACAGCACTATTAAAAAGCCTCTTCTCTTTAGTGACAAAGGCTGCGTCTGTTTCATCCTGGCTCCCCTGCCCAGCTATCTTCTGAGGAGCTGTGTAAGCTGGAGGATATGTAACAAGAGACATCCAGGAAGGGGCTGTATAGTCAAGAGCTTTCATGAGATGATAAATAGCTCAGGATCATTGCCTAGAAAGCAATCCCAGAGGCCAGTGTCCCACAAAGCAGATGCTTTGTATTTACAGCTGGTGGGTCTAAAAGGTACACAGAGGAAAGGAGACTTTCCTGTCACCCAATGGAAGAGCATCTTCTTTCGAGAACTCAGAATTAAATCTGAAACAGGCAAATACATCCTTTTGAGAACTGTAGCTGAAGGTAATGGGAAACAACTGAAGTGTACAATTCTCTTCTAGATCCCTTTCTTCTTTGTTTTATTTTTGTGGGCTTTCCTTTGAGCCCATTTTTAAGCTTGAGTTTGAGTGAAATGTCTGATGAAGACAGACATATAGAAAATATTAGAGGTAACATCCCATTGATGAAAGAACAGCCACCACAGATGAGGACATGGCCTGTTAACAATGTCCGTTCTGTCTGTTACTGAACCATAAAAGCAGGGTGCCTACAAAGGCAACCCATTTTTTAATACTACCTACTTGGCTTGGGCCATGTTCCGAGTGAGAACGAAGGGTTTCATTGGAGGCCTGTCTTGACGAGGTGAGTAAGAAGTTGATGCCTGGAAAGGAAATTCATTATCAGAAATGCATTTGCCATTCTGCCTACCCCATGATATAGGCTCTTAAGTCTTCAGATGACTGGAAAGCCCTGGATTCAAATGGTGCCCACTCCCTATTTGTCAGTCTCTAAGATGCAACAGCAGAATACTAATGGTGGAGGCTGCTTAGCTCCCTTGAGGAGGCCTGAGTACCTTGCTGAAAAGAGGGGAAGAGAAAGTTCTCCGAGAAATCATCTCACCAAAAGTATAAACATCAGTTGGCTTTAAGATATTCCCCTCTAGGGGATGGGCATGAAGGAGGGCACTTTGGGGATGAGCACTGAGTGTTATGTAGAAACTAATTTGACAATAAACTATTTGTAAAAAAAAAAAAAATAAAATAAAACAAAATAACGTAAAAAAAAAAAAAAAGATATTCCCCTCTAAAGAAGGAGATTCCAAAGGCTTTTTCCATGTTCCAGATAAATCCCTTGAGCTGATTTTGAAGTCCCTTTCCTCAGCCTGGCCTTCAGTGCTAAAGTTGAATGATTAAGACCCTTTCCAATATAACTAGTCAATAACTGCCAGGTTTTTAGAAGACAGTGTTCCTAAATGCAAGGGGGAAAGAATGTGTTAGTAACTTTCATATAGTGGCATATGACAAGGTTTCAGGGAATCTCAGCTGTCCTGAGCATACTGAAACAAAGTATGGTCAGAGAAAAGGTGTTCACTTAGGTCTACATCCATCACTTCCAGAGCTGATCCAAACACCAAATAAGAGAGTGTTTAGGGGCGCCTGGGTGGCTCAGTTGGTTAGGCATCCGACTTCGGCTCAGGTCATGATCTCGCAGTTGGTTGTTTCGAGCCCCATGTTGGGCTCTATGTTGACAGCTCAGAGCCTGGAGCCTGCTTTGGATTCTGTGTCTCCGTGTCTCCCTCTCTCTCTGCCCCTCCCCTGCTCATGCTCTGTCTCTCTTTCAAAAATAAATAAATGTCTTAAAATAGAGAGAGAGAGAGAGAGAGAGAGAGAGAGAGAGAGAATGTTTAACAACAGCAACAACAGCAAAGAATGGGGCAGGCAAGGATCCAGTAGAGGCCAGCCTCAAAACGCTCGAAAACCACTCATCTAGAGATGCTCAAGGGGCCTCCTGGCCTTAGAATATTGTTTTTCTTTTTTTAAAGATTTTATTTTCTTTCATTAAGTTTATTTTTTAAAATAGTTCTTGTTAAGTTGGTTTCCATATAACAGCCAGTGCTCACAAACTGAGGACAGATGGTGGTGGGGGAGAGAGGAAGGGAGGAGGGCACTTGTGGGGATGAGCACTGGGTGTTATATGGAATACTGTTTATTTCTGATCCTTTAACACGAGGAACTACGTTGATGTTGATGTTACCAGGAGGCATAAGCTCCTGGGCTAATAACTGGTACAAATCCAATTAGGAAGAGGTTTCTCTGAGAACCGAAATAAATGCTTGCAACTAGCTGATACATTCAACTCAAGCCACGTTTGTATCTTGAACCGAAAAGTAGGTGGCAGTGGAGCCTAATCTTTTGAAACAGCGGCTCCAAAACAGGGTGATGATCTTCAAAGACGGCCAAATCTGTGTTACACCAGGTTTTCTTGATCAGCACACCCAGCATTCCGTGCATGGAAATGTCCTCCTGTGTCTCCTACTTGGGAGATCTAAGGGTGTGAGAGCGCATCATTGTCTAAGTTAAATTTGGATTCCTTCTCAAACCTAAATATATTCCTGATCTTTCCTTTGATCTTCTTCTTCCTACTCTTTTCTCTTTTCCCTCTGGTGCCACTTTCCTTCTCCATTCCCATTCCATTCCTCTTCCTGTTTGTTTATTACAGTCAAGCACAGATTTTTTTAGAGGCCCACCTCCCTTTGCATTCCTTCGGCAGTCGTGACCTCTCACAGCCAAAACCAATTTTTACTTCAGAGAAGTCTCTCTCTCTGTGGCATGTCACACAATTATAAACGGCTAGAAGCGTTTTACAGGTTAGAAAGCCCTGGGGAACAACATCGTAAGCTCCAGAGAAGGCTAGTGAAGCTTCAGCCTTCCTCCACTAATCTTAAGAAGAACAATGCTTTTATGAAGACTTAAAAGGATTTTAATTTGGTTACTCTCCTGTATAACGTTCATCTCTCTGAAAGTAGCTTTTTGAGCTATCTGGGCAGCAACCAGGCTTACCTCTTTTAAGGAGTCTTTTTCTCTCAGGATCTTCATCTCCTGGTCAATGCTCTCAATCTCTTCTAAGCTGATACCAATCCACCTTCGAAGGTGAAGGAGGTAATATTCACGAACACGCTCATCATCTGCTTGACCACTTTCCACAGCAGATTTCATTGCAGACAACCTATGCTCCACCTCCTTCTTCTGCTTGTATCTGTTCCACAGAAAAGCATTACCCATGAACTCAAAAATAGAGTGGTATTCCTTCAAAGGAGGCCACAATAAGAGTTTACCTTTGCTGACGACCAGGCAGGGAGTATGCCGGTTTCCAGTTTGGCAAAAATACAGATTCTCTACCCCAGAACTCACCACCAGGGCAGTTCCCTCAAGACTGCAGGGTAAGGAACGGATGAGTAGGGGCTGAGAACCACATTCTAAAGGCAGAAAAATACAGAAATAACCTGATCTGAGCAACTCCTCCCCTCATCTTTCCAGATGCAAGCTCAAGGCTTACTAGGGTGGATACTTAGCATCACACAAGGTCCACTTGGGAAGTACAACTTCAAAGAGTCACAGACTCTTAAGGGTTATTTAATTGTCACTGATGCAGGAATTCCTTGGGAAACAGCCTAAAGAAATTGGTCATCTCTTCTTTTTTTCTGGGCAAAACAATCCCAGCTCTTCTGCCTCATCCTTTTGCTAAGGGAATCATATGGTTTGAACCAAGGAAATACTCTATTGTATTTTTCTCAAGTACAAGGTTCTATACTAAGTGCTTTTATTTATACTATCACATTTTTAAAAAAGCTTTACGCTCAACATGGGGCTGAAAATCACCGTCTGACCCAGCCAGGTGCCTCCCTGACTCATCCTAATATAAAGACTCACAACCATCCTGCTTGCCTTTTTCAGGATGCATTCTAACAGGTCATCTATCATTCACCTGAAAAGATATTTACTGAGTACCTATTGTGTGACAGGCACTCTTCTCAGCACTGGATACACAGCAGTGTATACAAGAAAGTCCTTGCTCTTCAGAAGCTTTTGTTCTAATGGAAGCAGACAAAAAGAGATGATGAGCTGGGCTGTGATAAGTGCCACAAAATAACAGCAAAAAGCAAGGTACGGCAGACAGAATGATGGCACAGAAGTAGAAGTGCTATTATATACACGGTGATCAGGAAGAGGTGACATTTGAGCAAAGACTTCAATAAGGAAGCAAGCCATGCAAATATCTGAGAGAGTGTTCTAAGGGGGAAAGGCAAATACGAAGGTCTTGGAGTAGGAGAGAGCCTAGCTTGACATGTTTGCAAAACAGAAAGGAGGCCACTGTGGCTGGCGTGAAGTGAAGAAGAATTCAGTAAATGAGGTAAAAGAGATGGCCAGGACCACAATTTGTAGAATCCGGTGTGCTCTAAACCCCAAACATCAAATACCAGGATATTTTGAGATAGGAACACACGGCATGAATAGAGTGACATGAAAACTTTTATTTTTGGCTGTTGTATGGAGTGCAGAACGTGGTGGGGGGGTGGGGAGGTGAGAGACAAGGATGGAAGCAGGGAAATTAATTAAGAGGATGTTGCTACAATTTAGATGAGAGACAGTGACTTGAAACAGGGAGGTGGAGAGACATGGATGCATTTAAATTAGAAAACAGATTTATTGGATATGAGGACTTGAGAGAGGAGAGTAAAGGAAAAGAATCTGGAGTTCTTAACCTGAGGTCCATGGACAGAGTTTGAGAGGAGGAGGTCCTTGAATTCCCTGAAATTTAATACAGAATTCTACCTTTTTATTTTTTATTAAAAGAAATTATTATTATTATTTTGCCTGGGAGAGGTCTGTAGTTTTTATCAGATCATCAACAAGGTCCATGACCCACGTAAAGTCAAGAACCACTGCTCTGGAGACATTCTTTATTATACAGAATTTTAGGCTTTTCTGATCCTTTTACCCAACAAGTGGGGCAGTTTCTATATTACAAATAACTGTCACAGCAGCAGCATCGGCAGCCTCTGAGCAAAACAGCACAAAGGTCAATTCGTAGTTCATGAATGCTATTACAGACATCGCTTGAAAACATTTCATTCTGGTCCCAATCCTACCCCCACCCTTTTTCCTGGATGTACCTACATCAGGAGAAAAACATACCAGGGCCTTAGAATGTATACAATCCAGGGTAAATTCTGGGTCAGTTTACTGGTCCTCTGAGTAAGGTTCTTGTGCTTCCTTTCCCATTCTCTGCATGCACTGTCACTGTGCTCTCTGGCTTCTTCTTCACTTCCTCACTCCTCTGACTTCTCTCCTTGTCATCTTTGAAACTTCTAGCTCTTCCACTCCTGCTTTTTTGGTCAGGGTTTTTAACACCTCTTTGTCTTAGTTAAAAGAACCCTTTCTTTTTCTTCTTCTTTTTCTTTAAAGTAGGCTTCGTGCCCAGTGTGGTGCCCAATGTGGGGCTTGAACTCACGACCCTGAGATTGAGACCTGAGCTGAGATCAAGAGTCGGATGCTTAACCGACTGAGCCACCCAGATGTCCCAAGAACCCTTTCTTCCTGTGAGAGCGTATCTGGAACTCCATAAGTAATAAACAGATAAAAACCCACCCTAGTTAAATCAGAGGAGGGCTCCCAACATCCCTCCCTACCCAGGCACTGTGGTGGAATCTTACAGCTCCGAGGTACAGATTGAAAATCACCATCCTAGACCTTCACCACTGTTCTAGGTTTCCACCACTGTTCTAGGTTTCCTATGGCGAGCCATTACATGGAAACACTCCCTACCGCACCACCCATCACCCTTCTGACTCTGGGCCACTTTCCCCGCACCCTTTTTCTGCTCTCAGGCTGCTGCGGAGAGCTCACGAATTACAGATTTGTGTCAAACGAGTCAACGACAAATTCAAATGATCAAACTTTGGCCGAGCAGTCACTCTTGCCCAGTTGTTTTTGTTCATCTTTTGTGGATTCCATGCCACCATCACAGTTGCCAAATGCCCAGCCAATGGCCATCAATTTCCCTCTTTCCCTTAAAATCTCCATAGTTTCACCTTTCCTCCTTCCCTCGTCTTTAAGGAGCTAATGCTGTTTTTACCAGGGCAATGTCTTTACCGTTCTCCTTTTGCTATGAAACCTGTCCCTACCCACATTTTCCCAGGCCTCACGCTATCAGTCAATCCTGGGATCAGCAGTTACGATTTTTCACTCTACTGGTGCCTTTCCCCTATCCTAGAAACACCTTCCCTCAATCCACAGTCTATACTTTACAGTGACCACGCTTCTCGTTTCTGTGCCTTGCTGGAATGAGCACAAGAACTGGGCATTTGAGGATCTGCGTTTAAATCCTCACCTGAACGCTTATGAGGTAACTCTGTACAAGTAAATTCTCATACCCCATTTCCGTATCTCTAAAATGGAGATAATAAGCTGCGTTTCCTGGGGTGGTTAATAGAATCAAATGGAACAATACACATGAAAGTACTTCGTAAGCAGCACCAGAATACAGATACTGTTAGAGGATGGGGAAATGGGAGGCAGGAGGGGCTAGATGATGCCCCACTTATTAAGTGGAGGAAATCAGATTGGTCACTCCAAGTCCACGCTTTCTGTGCAATACCCTATTGCTTCTGTTTTCCTTATGACTACTGTAACTGTTCTATGATCGGCTTGTTGTCTCGGGCTCTAGGGACACAGTGACACAATTATGATACTAGAGATACAATTAGTCAGGATCTCTGACCTTTAGGAGTTCCAAGTTTACAGAATGACAGTTACACTGTGATAAGTAACAAAAACTAAGTGCTATAGTGTCTGGGAGGGAAGCTTGGTGGGGAGAAGCCTCAAAGAGTACTTAACATTTGCTCTCTCTCTCTTTCCCAGGCTTCTATAAGCACTTCTATCTATACTTTGCTGAGTGTCTTACCTCTGAATGCTCTTTCCTGTCTCTTTCTTCTCCCTTAACTTGCCCCAAGGTTTTATCCTTGGCTCTTTTCCCCTCTCTGCATGTTTTTCCTTGGTAAACTATCCATACCCACCAAAGCTCCTAAGGTTTTAGCACCAGCCACCAAACAGCCTCCTCCAAGTTTTAGTTACACTGCCCTCTGTCTATGGACACGGCTACCCAGCCGGCACTTCAGAATCTAAGTTCAGTGAATCTGACACTAGACCCATCCATTACTTACATAGCTTCTACTTCTCTATTTCTGTCACCAGAATGGAGATGCAGATATACAGCCAGACTCTTACTTACTGTCAAAGGTGAGAATCGGCGGAGAGGATATGTGAAGAAACAGGTTTTGAGAGAGAGAGAGAGGATACAACATTTAGGTGTTGTATGCAGGATGGCCTCAGTACGTAAAGAGGGAGGATTTACAGAAAATAAACAAGGATCTCAAAAATGTGTTTTCTAACCCTAGAAATGCTTCCTGCAAAACGAACGTCTTTGATAGCTGTCACTTCATTTTTATCTCTTCTTCCCAGCTGAAATACTATTATAACGTGCCAGTTTGTCTTTCTGCCTCTCGCGGACCTTTCAGGATTCTATACACACATCACTTCCCTGTGCAGACCTCCGACCACAGTACCTTTGGCTTCTGCCCAACTAGAACTTTCTACGTTCCTCGTACATACCTCAAAGCACCCTGCGCCTTGGGCTTCTGCTCATGTTGCTCCCCCTGCTTGTCAATAACGAACACTTCTTGAGCACCTCCTCTATGCCAGGCCCTGTGCTAGGCATACCACACTGAATAAGAGAGAAACGGCTCCTGCCCTCAAGGAGTACACATTCTAGAGCAGGGGAGAAAGACAAAGCCCAGGAAGACAGGAAAATGAAGAGCGTTTCATGCGAGGAGAACAGGTACAAAGACTGTAGCAGGAAGGGGCTGGGCCTGTGCAAAGAACCAAAAGAAAAGGCAACTGGGGCTGGAACCTAGCGGACACGGGAAGAGAACCGGGCGCCAGACCGTGCAGGGCCTCGTAGTCAGTGGCTTGGCTATTTCAGGTGAAGTGCTAGTGGCCTACACTAAGGTAGGACAGTGGAGACCCCAAAAAACAGGAGGACGGAAGATTCGTTTCGTAGCTAGAACTGGCAGGTCTGGCTGGTGGACGGGATGTAGAGATTCAGAAGGGAGGAACTGAAGCTAGCTCCTAGGTGAATGGTGGTACACTGAATGAGATGAAGACCTGGGTGTGGGGGCACACTGGGAGTTGAAAAGCCAAGGGTTCAACTTAGGCCATGTTAAGTCTGAGATGTCTGGGAGTCTGAAGGTCAGGAAAGATCTGGGCTCATGACATAAATGTGGCAGCCATTAGCATAAGGATACCCTCGTTATCTTGTTGGGCAGACATTTTTAAGAAATGTTCAAAGACCAAGCTTTCTAGCCAAAGAAATGCAAATAAAAACAATGAGATACCTTTTCTGGTTTTCCCAATTGGATTTTCTAAGTGTTACCGTGCAAGCCCAGTGTGGTGGGGCATATTCTAAAACTTGGTTACTGTAGAAAACAGTGTTGCCACCATCAAGTCTTAAAATATTCAAACCCTTTGATCTACTCACTGGTCCTTCTAGAAATATATCTTAATGAAACCCTGACAGATGCAGTTAGAGATGCCAGTTCAAAACGCTACTTACAAGAGCAAAACCGAATAAAAACAACACCCCCCCCCCAACCTATACATAGTCTAAGTATTTGACAATAAAAGATTAGTTTAAATCACTGTGGCACAACTATAGGATGGAATATTATGCAACCATTAAACATCATGGTTTCAAAAGACACGGGGAAACGCTCACAATATGTTAGGTTTGAAAAGGATAAACAAAACTATATATACAGTATTATTCCACATCTATTAGCTAAAATAACTATATATCTGGAAGGAAATATATCGGGAAGTTAACAAAGATCATTTCTGAGTGCCAGGATTAAGGCCTTTTTTTTTTTTTTTTAAATTCAAAAATATTGCTTTTCCAATTTTCTACAATCAGTATTATTTCTTTGACATTCAGGAAAATCTGTAATTGCCATTTTTAACCAGAATTCAAGGCTCATCGCAAATGCATTACATTCTGAAACTTCATCCTCATCCCTCCAACCAGACGTGCTCACTCCTTGGCCTTTCTCTGCAACACTGTAGCTCTATGGCATTTATAGTCCTTTTTTGGGGGTATAGTATAATTATCTGGATACTGAACTCATTGGTTAAACTATCTGTCACATGCCAATGGGCTGCCCCCACCTTCTTACAAAAGACATGATGCTGAATTCCACTTCCTATCAGTTTGTCCCATTTCCTCAAACATTATTATTCACTGTCACTAACCCCAAACTATACCACCTGACTAATTATTTACTAGCTTTATAGTCTGTCTCCTCCACCAAAATAAAAGCTTCATGAGGCCACTGACTTCATCTGGTTCTCCATTACCTAGAACAGTTCCTGGCGCTCAAGAAAGGCTCAATACATATTTGCCAAATGAATGAATCGATTTTCAGCTTTCTAGACCAGGCCTCTCTGAGCTACATGCTACCAGATACCTCTATCTGGAGGTATCCTAAACACCTTCAATGGCTCAATACCGAATTTGTACACTCCCCTATCCCCTGATTTGTTCTTCCTCCTCTATACCGCATCTTAATGAGTTCCACAAGCCATCCACCTATGACACAAATGTGGACATCTTCCTTGTGTTGCCTCCATCTACCGCACCTCCCAGAACTAACTGATCACCAAGTTCTCTGCCGATTCAACCCCTCTAAATAAATCTATCCCATCTCTTTTGCCATTGCTGCTGTGAGGCCTCATCACTTGTGACCTAACTGGATCTAATATTCTCCCTCACACTGCTTCCTTCCATACACTGCTCCCAGTGTATGCTAGTTAAAATGCAAATATAACCATGCTGCTCTTTAAAAAAAAAAAAAAAACACAACCCAAAAACCTTCCGTGACTCCCAATCACCAACCGAATTTAGGTTCTTTAGCATGGCCTACTGGTAAGTGACATTTCCAGACTAGTGACTATGTGCCAGACACTGTGCTAGCTGTTTTATGTGCTCTTGTTTATGTTTCTTAACATTAACATTATGTTTCTTGGTACAATTATTACTTTTACATGGTTTCACATAAGGAACCCTGAGGCTCAGACAGGTTATATAAGTTACCCAATGTCCCATGGCTTACAGGTAAAGCTGGGTCTCAAACCCCGCTCTCTGACTCCACAACCAGTACTCAGCTACAAAGATATAACAATAGCTGACTTTGAATACTTACTGTATCAGACATTATGCTAAGTGCTTTTTGTGTATTTCCCTTTTCATCTTCAAAACTACCTTATGAAGAAAGACCTGTTACTGTCCAATTTTACAGCTGGGGAAATTAAGGCACCAAATGATTAAGCAACTTACCCCAAGCGAGAGTGATTAAATGGTGGCAGTGAGATTCAAACCCCTCCCCACGTCCTTAGCAGCGGGGCTGTTCCTTCACCCTCTTCACACCCCAAGTCTCCTTGGTCTGGACCCCACAACATTCTTCAGCATGATTCCTTCCCCTTCTCCCTCACCCCTTTCATGTTCTAGCATCACCTGATTGCTTACAGTGGTTCCCCACACACATCCCCAACCCAGCACTGTGCTCTTTTATGCCCCTGTAGCTTGACTAACACTATTACCTCTGCTGGCTAATGCCCTCCTTTCCTCTTTCTGTAGATGACACTCCTATCCGTCCTTAAACAACTCAGAACAGGAGTCACCTCTTCTAGGGAGCCTTCCTTCTCTTCTGCTCCTTCTTTGGCTAGGTGCCTCTCCTGTCTACTCTCACAGTACCTGTGCATTTCTCCATCACGTCCTTTTATATTGCTACTGTTTCTATGCCTCTTCTCCTCCCCACACTGTATACTCCTCCAAGGTGGAGACCACTCATACTCCTCCAAACACCCTCAGTTTGTACCCCCAGTGCCTAGCATAGATCCTAGCCACTGTGAGCACTCGTCAAAGGTTTTTTTTTTTACACGAAACTGAGAGTAAGCAACTTCTTCAAGGTCACATGATGAAGCTGTGCTAGGACTAACACTAGCTCAGGATGTTACACACCTGAGCCACTACTCAGACCAGAACTTCTCACTCAGTGGACTGTAAATGGATTGTAGCTACGAGGCACTGTGCCCTGCATAGATATTTACCTGCCTGTGCCATATGAATACTGCTATGCTGTGACGTGGGATAAGATTGGGAGACGCTATGCTAAAGTGTGTTCTTCTGCTGGCAACCATAGGGTAGCAGAGGTCTGACAGTTAGGTATGGCCATCTCAGCAAACGCAGAATCTTCTTGAAAACCATACGAGAACTTACTCTCACCAGGGCCTAATGCTGAAAAGGAATCAAGAGAGTGACAGACACCACTGTCCACCCCCCCCCACAAAACATGCACCGCCCCCCACCCCCACGCAATAGCACTGCCATTGGGCAGTCCTCAAATTATAGCTATTGACCCACCTCTCTATTTTAGCCTGTCTTTGAGATGCCATTGCAACGAGGCTAGGATAGGCCATGGAGGAACTAGCAGTATTATTATCAGTTGAGTTGTTCTTGGTTTTGGGCAGCTCAAACTCTGCCACATGATAGTATTGGCACTGAGTTAAGTAGTTTAAAAAGTGTTCTCGAGCCCACTGCAAATGATCTAGACGCTTGCTGGGGTTGACTTGTTTCATGGCGAGCGCTCCTTGAAATGCTGGCACCATCAGGTACTTCAGGTCGGTGGAAGCAATCTCTTCCAAATCTTCATTTTGGCTGGAAAGAGCAAAGATGAGGCTGTGAAGCCTGGATGGACAATCACACTGCAGCCCTTGCTGCCTGCGTGAGGGGAAGGCTGCAGGGGGTGTGAGAAGGGCAAGGCCGAAGGAACAGTGGCCAGTTTTCTTGAATGCAAGTGGCTGACCGCCCACACCTGATGCCTTTGCAGAGAGTCAACACTAGGGAGCAGAGTCGTGGGATATCAACTATCTCGAAGACAGGGGGGGAACGTAAACAAGGTACACAAGATCGCAGTGCGAGGTGGGAATGAAAGGTTCCTAGTCCTTTTTAAAAGGGTCTCCTCTACCCAGACTGAATGACTCCACCCTTGGTAAGCATTATTACCTCCGTTCTTAGCCATTATTACCCTGTTCCCCATACCTGAACAAGTCGAGCTGCGCTACCATTTCAGCAGCCTTCTTAAGGAGGTCTAGTGCCTTGAACACCTTATCTTGGATTATGCGGGAACCGGTGGGCTCAGTCGCTACTTCCACTTCGTCCAGAAGCTGCCTGCTGGTTTCGAACAGCTCGGGGAGCCGTGGCAGCAGTAACTCGTCTTCAGCTGTTGCCATCTTGGGGAAGGGAGGAACGCGCAAGACCTCACTTCCGGGGTCAAAGGCAATCTTGGAAAAGGAGAATTCGGCGAGTGTGAACGAAACCGGAAAGAGCACCGTATTGGTTCAGTCGCTTCATTGTTACCAAAGCGTCAAACAGACCTTCCGGAAGCCGCTGGTCGCAGTCACTGCCCACGGGTCCCATGGGCTTATTTTTCCAGGCTGCTGCCTATCGGCAAGTAGCAGACATCTGCTAAAAACAAGCAAACAAAGCCCAGCCCTGGGTGCTGTTTTACGGTTTGCTCCTCGCCGACTCCAGGCCGGGATGTTCCGTGGGTTCTGTGCTCAGGCGCGGCGGGACGAGGCTGAATTCACTGCGGTGGCGGGCGCGCTGCGGAGGCCGGCCAGGCGCGCGCCTCTCCTCGCGAGACGCTCCCTTTGTTAAGGGGCCGGGGCAGACAGGGGCTCCAGGTGCTTGTTTCGATTGTCTGCACCCTTGAGTGCGAAGTGAGATGGCGCCCCCCTGCGGCTTCCATGCCTCCAGCCGCTGGGACCCCAGGCTTCTCCCAAGCCAATCCTGGGACCCGCCCTCTTCCCATCCACGTCATTCCTCCTACACACACACACGCACGCACGCACGCACGCACGCACGCCTACCCTACGCCCCCCACCCCCCGACCCCTGCGACCTACCGGCCGGGCTCCTACACACACCCACCCCTTCCTCCCAAACCCCTGCAACTCTAGTCACTCCAAAGTCGGCTTCCTTTCCAAAGTCATTGTGTGAAACCCTTTTTGATACCCTCCCCACACCCAAGCCACTGAAAATTTTCACTTTCTATGAATCTCCGTCAAAGCACCAACGACAATGGATTACAGTTAGCGATTTACAAATCTATTTCCCATACCAGAATGAGTCTGATTTAAGTTTTACACCCTTCCAGCTAACCTACTGCCTGGGCCTTATCTAGTGCTCAGTGGCCTAAGAATATAAGAAAAAAAAAGTCGGTTTGGAAAGCAGCACAATCGTGCAGAACTGTGGTGTTCAATAAGGTAGCATCTAGCCACGTGGAGCTACTGAGCCCTTGAATGTGGCTATTTTGAAATGAGATGTGCTGCAGGTGTAAAATACACATCCAATTTCAAAAACGTACTACGAAAAGGAATACAAAATATCTCCATTTTCACACTGACGTTACAGTGCTAACAGTTTGTATATGCTGGGTTAAAGATAGGATTAAAATTAATTTCGGTTGTGTCTTTTCACTTTTTTAACGTGCCCACTAGAAAACTTAAAATTACATACCGGGCTCACATTATATTTCTACTGCGCAGCACTGATGTAAAAATAGAACTCCAGGTCTTCGAAAGAAGGGATGTCATTGCTGTCAACAAATCAATATACATACATACTGATTACCTTCAGACACACCCCAAGTTGTCCTAGGGGATTTAAGTTAAGCAGAATGCACGCTGCCTCACCTGGAAAATAAGTTCTTCAACTAAATATATTTTAAACTAACTTTGGTGGAGAAGAAAAAAATTGATGTGAAAACAACTAGAGGGCAACATAGGACAGTACAGAACTAGGGGATACGCTGTATTGCACAGGCTGTTGGAAAACTAAGAAATGGCAAGTCATTCAACGCGAAGAGTCCTTCAGAAAGCTTCTTAGACAGGATATGCAGTCAGAGAATTTCAAAGTCGGAAGGGGACCTGAAAGAGCAGAGGGAAAAAACCAAGACCAGAGAGGTTAAGTGACTTGCCCAACCAGTGGTGACAAAGCCAGTGTCTTTTACGTTCACTTGTTTTTAACCTGTAGCCATCTTAGGTCCGGTAGGATTTAAAGAGACGGACAGGACCTTTTAAGTGGGACACAATGAAGCCCCAAGCTAAAACAGTGCTTTGGAGCGGGGAGACGGGGGTGGGGCACGCTAAGTGTAGGTTGGAAAGGCTTCCCAGGTGATTCTAATAAACCTCCCTTGGCAACCCCCAGCTTTAGAAGCTGAGGAAGAAAGGTGGCTCTGGCAAAGTACCTATTTGATTTGCCTGGCGCCTCTAATTACTCTGGCAAACTGAACTTTCAGGGTCAGTGACTACAGGAATACAGAAAAGGTACAAAGAAGACAGTATTTGTGGAGGAGACTTGGAATCTCAGTTAATTGTGGGACTGCAGATAATGTTGTTTCTGTGCATTTGCTTGGATTGAGACACAGCTTTGCCGTTGCCTCAGAGGAAAAAAAAAATGTATGCAGAATTTGAATTTGGTCCTAAACTTTGTAAGCCCTTTTTCTATGGCTTTCAGAATAATAGAGTTTATGGGAGTTGCCAACTGCGTTCAGAGTGCATATTCAAACTGCCGTGCTAAATACTGCACTGCATCTTATTGTGAGGTGATCCCCAGATTAAAAAGTGGTTAGAAAAAAAGCAATAATAAAAATGAGTTGTTTACTGCGTTTCTGTGTGTAAACACGATCACATTAAAAAATCCTAGTGATTTTTTTTAAAGTCCCAGTTTAGGGAATCCAGAAGGGCCCTTGGAAATCATGGAAACATAGTGGTGCTTAAACGTTTTGTAATAGCAGAACTTGCTTTCCAAACCAGGTTTTAGGCAGGCCCATAATTTCTAAAAGGGCCACTGTGTTTGAGTGGGTACACAGAGGCCTGCTAACTCAGCCTCTGGCTCACCTTTCCCCCAACCTGCTCAGTGGCACCAAAGGCTCCAAGGAACCTCCGTGGGACTCGAGGACTCTAAATACCACCGTAGAAAGGACGCTACGCTGGCACAGCCCCCTCATTTAGCGGATAACAAAACTGAGACAGAGGGTTTGGTGATTTTCCCACAGCCACACAGCTGAGACAACTGACTAAGCAACAGTATACAGAGTGAGTCGGGAGGAGGAGAAACTAGAGTCCAGGAGAATAGTAGAAAGCATTTTAGGTACTCTATACATGATGCAGAAATGAGATGAATTTTCAAGTATTTTAGACATGACAGATGTTCATTTGCCATGTTCGATTCTTTCTTTCTTTCTTTTTGAAATTTTTAAAAATAGTTTATTTTTGAGACAGAGAGAGACAGGACATGAGCGGGGAGGGGCAGAGAGAGAGGGAGACACAGAATCCGACACGGGCTCCAGGCTCTGAGCTGCCAGCACAGAACCCGATGCGGGGCTTGTCATGTTCGATTCTTAACACAGATTTGGTAAGCCAGTTGTGTGATTCACGAGAGACATGTTAAAGCAGACCTTTTCCTGCCTGTTTGAATTGATGTGCTTGGCAGCTTAGACCTTCTTCAGCCTGCTTTAGAGGATCAACTGCTGTTTTGTCCTGAGTGAATAATATTCTACTGATTTTTGTACCTCTAATGGCAGCAATAGCACTAGATGAGATCTTCTTGTGTAGAGGGTAAAGCCAAGAGCAGGCTGTAACTGGCCAGAAATTATTTGAGGAATAGCTACTTGTTCATCCTTTCTGTTTAAACTATCTTCACCAAGTTTTGTTTTTGTTTTGTTTTTTTTTAAGAAATCTCTATGTCCAACATGGGGCTTGAACTCATGACCCTGAGGTCAAGAGTCACATGCCCTAGCACTCTCAACAATAGCCAAAACATGGAAAGAGCCTAAGTGTCCATTAACAGACGAATGGATCAAGAAGATGTGGTTTATCTGTACAATGAAATACTACATGGCAATGAGAAAGAATGAAATCTGGCCATGTGTAGCAACATGGATGGACCTTGAGGGTGTTATGCTGAGCGAAATAAGTCAGGCAGAGAAGGACAAATAACATATGCTTGCACGTATAGGAGGATTAGGAGGAACTTAACGGAGGACCATGGGGGAGAAGAAGGGGGGAAATGGTGGGGGAGAGGGAGAGAGGCAAACCATGAGAGGCTCTTGAGTGATGAGAACAAACTGATGGGCGGGGGAGGGGGAAGATGGGCATGGTGGGGGGCACTTGTGGGGATGAGCACTGGGTGTTATATGGAAACCAACTTGACAATAAACCATTTGTAAAAAACAAAACAAAACAAAAGAGTCACATGCCCTACCAACTGAGCCAGCCAGGAGCCCCTTCACCAAGTGTTTTTGAGACTGGAATTTGCCTGACTAGTGGCAAGAAGCTTACTGAGCCATGAAAGGAATAACTCCACAACAGCGATGACTGCATTAAATCAAAGATTCCAGTTCCTACTTCTATATCCAACTTTTAGGAATGTGGTTCTGCAGTTAAAAATACTCTGGAGACTTGGATTTGAGTCCCACCTCCTCTGCTACGGAGTAGCTGAATGACTTTGTAGAAGCCCTTTCCATCCTTCTTTCCGCATTCCTTGTGTGCTACTGCAGCGCTAGGCACTGGGAATTCAAAGAGCAAGAAAACAGGGTTTGAGCCCTTAGGGGGCCCATAGGTCAATGGAATAGACCCGTACACAAATAACCAAATTGTGATTTGGTAAGAATGGAGGGAATAACTTTGGCCCCGAGGGGGGCGTATTCCTTTACAGGTCAAACTCTATACCTGACTTACAAGATCCTTTCTGATCTGATGCTGACATCTTTTTCATTCTCTTCCTCCGTGGAACCCCTAACCTCCACCTTTAGCAAACTGCTCGGTCTCCAACACCTACCCGCTCTTTTAGGCCTTCATACATTGATAGGGGCTGTGCCTTCTGCCTGGAATGTCCTTCTCTCCCTTGTCTGCCTGGCAAGTTTCTATTAATTACTCATGACTTAGGATCCCTTCCTTCAGGATGTATTTCCTGATCTTTTGCCTGTAGGTGAGGCACCCTCCTCTAAGCTCTTCATTCATCTCCCTGTGATAGATAGTACTGGGTAATGGTTTTCTCCAGCCACAGCTGTCTGTCACTAGACTGAGAGCTCCTTGAGGCCAGTGAGAGTGTCTAATATTAGTCTTTGTTGACCTCAGCAGAGCACTTCACACCTGTGAGGTAAGGACTCAATGTTAAAAGAATAATGTTCCGTATCAACAACAGTTAACCTTCTTGGAGTGCTCACTACTGCCAGGTGACTATGCAAAGTACTTCACATGCATTTTCTCAGCTAATCCCCACAACTTCCATTAAGACACAGGTGTTACATGCCTGTTTTACAGAAGAGGAAGCTGTGGCTCAGAGATGCTAAAGTAACTCGCCCAATGGTGTTGGCTTATACTGGGATTTGAACCCAACTCATTGAA